GCAGCCAGTAGCAGCACCCCAAGTCCCACTGCAGAGCCAGGCTAGGAGTGGAATATGGTTGCTCCCCTGGGCCCAGAGCTGCTGCTGGCACCGCCCACACCGCTGACCGGCTGTGGTCCCCAACAGCTCCTGTCAGTACCTGTGCCGTCTCTGGAACTAGTGCTCACACTTCCAACTACCCTGGTGTGAGTTCTGCCTGGCCCGACTCTTTTACGCTGCTCCCTCTGATTCAGAGTCCAGAGTGGGTGGTCTGATCCATAGGGCCTAGCTCATGTGCCAATATCTGAGCTTCACAGGAGACAAGAACGGGGCTGTCTGCATATTTATCTGCTATAGTAGATGTGGGCTCTGGCAGGAGTTGAAGAGTTGGGTGGCCATAAAGGACGACAGATGTCCATTCCAGTGCCATGAAACACATGAATAAATGTTTTAGTCCTTGTGCTTTGGGAGAAAGTCTTAGATCCCTAGACACTGAGTTTCTCTGTAGTTCCTTTATAGCAGACTGTTTTAAATTCTTCTTTGAATCCTCAGCACCCTATGGGATGCTTTCAGGAAATGTTTGTAGAATGAATTAATGTGTTATTGAGTCTATTCTTTTACCCGCATGTATTGGGCATATTCTCTGTGCCAAGCACTGTGTTGAACATGATTTGCAGGATCAAAAATGCTTTTAGGCAATAGTAAAGAAAGAAGCAATCAGGAACCAGGAGTGGACTACTGTGCAAGAATAAAAATGCAAGAATTAGGATCTAGAGTGAAGAAATACTGCTTAGACAGGAAGCAGGGTGAGTGTGACTCAGCTTCTGAAGTTGAGGTTGGGATTGTGACAGATCAGGGGTGGAAAGGGCTGAAAAGCTTATCTGGGCACATTGCAGAGATGGCAGGGGTGGGAGGCAGGCAGAGCGAACAGTCGCCTGATGGGAGTGGCGTGGGAAAGCTCCACCTCCAGCTCTCCTCACTCTCATCACATTTGGACATTTCTAGGCAAGTTGCTTGTTCGTTTTGGGGGAAGTTGTAGCCCTTGCTGGTTTTTCTCTGAGTGACTATTGTATGCTCAAATTGTAATGAGAAGTTAAATGTGTTATATTTGCAAAGCCCTTACAATAGTGTCTGGCGTGTTTTAAGGACTACGTAACCATTTATTAAATACATAAAAATAAAGCAATCTTCTGTTTCTGATACTTCCACGAAATAGGGATTCCCCTTGGACTTATGTTTAGCCAAATGCGAGGTGTATTTTTTCACCTTTTGACTGCCAGCCTTGTTCTTACATCATCTGCTTTCCTTTCACTAGGTGCGTCCCATGTTCTGGGCACTGTCTGTATCACTACAGCTCAGCCCTACCTCTGCCCATTCAAAATTGGCAGGTCATGAATGGTGCTCCTTGGGCAGAGGGACCCACATGCCGGACCCACAGGATTACCTCGGCCTTGACCCAGTAATTCCTTAACAGCTGAAGTTAATAATAGTAATACTAGTAATAATAATAATTAATCCAGCCTTTTGTTTTCTTCAGTGGAAGAATGGGTTTAGTTCACCTCCTGTGATAACCAGGGATAGAAATTCTAGTTTAGGTGCTACAATATATGTAGTTTAAATCCTATAATCCTCACGAGAACCTCAAAAGGAAACTGGTGAGGTTTTCTCCATTCTGCAGATGAGGAAAATGAGGCAAGAGAGTTTACTTTTCCTAACCAGGGTCAAAGAGCTAATAAGTAGTGGCCCCAGAATTTGAACACAGGCAGTCTGGGTTCCGTGCTCCTGTGCTAACACCTAAGTCCATCTATTTCCTTCTTTTTATAAAGCAGTATAACTGCTTCATCACTGGGAGCATTCTTTTAAAAGGGCAAACAAGTCTCTACCTTTACATGCTTCCCTTACAACTTGGGACACAGTTTGGCAAAAGCCTAGCCAGATAGAGAATNTGACTGAGCTTTTTTCAGAGCCAGTGAGTTCTGGTTTAATCATTTTGTGTTACCAAATACATTTCATAGACTATAGAACATAGTTTAGGTTCTTATATGTAAACTTTTCCAACAAGGCACATAGATAATTTTTAGTTAAAAATTCTTTGGCCTCAGATATTCATTTATTCAACAAATATGTATTGGGCAATGGCTATGTCAAGTGATATACAATATTAATTTTCTTTCATTTTTAACATGGAAGACAGCTCTACCCTAATTTTTTTAAATGTCAAAAACACTGTTACTTATCCAAGTATAAATTCTACAGAGAAGTAAAGACTATGGTTTTATATTAAACGGGCCTAAGCAATCTTGAGAAAGCAGTCTTTTCCTGATATGTGCCTGTTTGACAAATATAGCTCCTATGCTAATTTAGCAACCTGATAAACCAAGAAAACTGGTTTGATCAATTTTTTAAATATTCCAGTAGTTCTTTGTGAATTGCCTTGCCAAAGGAAAATAACACGAACTATCTTATTAAAGTAACACCAAGAAGATATATTAAAATGTTTAAGCAAATAAAAAGTCCTATCCTTGAGTCAACCATTTAAGTATTTATAGTTAGTGGTAACATAGAGGGCATTATAAACCAACTTCAAGGTCTACCAATTATCTTGAGAGAAATCAGGTAAATATCTCAGTTCTTTGTAAAGAAAAGAACCAGATAAGAACTAAAATAGGATAAATTACTACAACTGTTCTGGAGGGCAGTGTGGCAATGCATATTTAAGAACTTAAAATTGCATACAATCTTTGATTTATAATTCTGCTACTAGACTTTCTCCTGGGGAAGTAATAATGGATGCACAAAGAATGTTCTACAAGGATTTTCATAGTAATGAAACATTAGAAACAATCTAAATATCGAACAATTTGAGATTGGTTAAATAAATTACAGTACATCTCTCTGAGAGAATATTATCATGCCATTAAAATGAAATGGAAGAGAAGTATTTCTAATGTTTTCTGCCTCCATGATATTCACATGTGCTATATACTATTTTCAGTGACAC